GCCGGTTGAGCTATAGGCGCCGAGCCACAGTCAGTTCTTTAAATAATTTTTGGGTCAGATGTTACGGCTCACACCTATAATCCAGTACTTTGGGAGGCTGAGGCAGGATGATCACTTGAGCCCAAGAATTTGAGGTTGCAGGGAGCTGGATGGAAGCTTCAGGATGGAGAAAAAAAACTAATATAACTGATTTTTCCTCCAAAAAAGGGCTGAAAGCATTGTCCTTTTAGTAGTCATATATACATATATAAGTATAGGCAAATTCTACGTATATAGTCATCTTAAAGACAGGTGTCATAATATCTTAAACTCTGGACTTTTGAAAACATATAGATTATCCTTATCTGATTCGACTATGCCACAGACATTTTAGATGAGTACCTGGCATGGTGTCAAGAACTGTTGTTGATCACAAGCATTCAGAGGTAAAGAAGGCTCCCAGAGGGCACAGAAAGTGACCTGTGCGTCTAGGACCACCAGAGGTGTGCAAGGTACTCAGGATGGGAGTGGGGATGGGGTGGGGGTGGGGACAAGAGATGAAACTGCCTGGTGGAGAATTTGGAAATGCCTTTTTAAAGCTTTATACTCAGGTAAATTTTATAACCCAGCAATTCCATTCCTTTTCAACTTTCTTCCCAAGAAATAATCACAGCTGTACACAAAGATTTAGCTACAGAGGTGTTTGTTACAACATTGGTTAGAATACTAACATTTTTTTTTTTCTAATTGTAGGAGACTGAATGGTAGGAGCTGAATTCCAGCATATTCACAGAATGGAAATACTATGTACTAACTAAATTGATACTGCAGATAATGTTATGGAAAGATGCTCATGCTACACCAATGATTTTTTTTTTTTCTTTTTTGACACAGGAGCCTCAAGCTGTCCCCCTGGGTAGAGTGCTGTGGCATCACAGCTCACAGCAACCTCCAACTCCGGGGCTCAAGCGAGTCTTCTGCCTCAGTCTCCTGAGTAGCTGGGACCACAGGTGCCCAACACAATGCCTGGCTACTTTTTTGGTTGCCGCCATCACTGTTGTTTGGCGGGCCTGTGCTGGATTTGAACTCGCCACCTTGGGTGTACGTGGCTGGCGCCTTAGCCACTTGAGCCACAGGCGCTGAGCCATACCAATGATTTTTAAAAGCACGTTATGTATGTGGGGCAGTACCTGGCATATAATCCCATTTCTGTTATCCATTCTTTGTGGAAGGCAACCTCTAAGATGGCCCCAAATGACCCCCCACCTCTTGGTGTTCACTCCCAGTGCTGGTCAACAGCACACGGAAAGAAATGATAGCATGCCACTTTTGAGATCAGGTTATAAGAGACCATGACTTCCATTCTGGGTACTCGTGCTTTTGAATTTTTATCTCAGTTTTCATTTTCTCTTGGGTCAACTCTACAGAGCCCCACGTGAAATGCCTGTCCAAGAGCCAGCGAGGAACCAAGGCTTCCCCAAAGCCTTGCAATGAGAGCAGAATATCCTGCCAGCCCTAGTGGAACCTTGCTTGCGATGATGTAGGTTTGGCTGATAGCTTGATGGCCACCTTGTAAGAGACCCTGAGCTTGACCCACCCAGCTCAGTTGTGTCTGGATTCCTGAGCCCCAGAAACCATGAGACGGCAGATTTCACAGCTTTTTCAAGCTGCTAAGATTGAGGGTAATTTGTTACGCGGCAACTGATAACCAATACATATGTGCATAGTCATCTAGGACAAAATTGAAAATATATTAGTGGTTTTCTTTAGGTGGTGGAATTTATGAGTAACTTTTATTCTCTTTGTTTTATACCATGTTGGCAAGTGTTTTTTTGTTTGTTTTTAGAAAACAGAAAAGGAAAATTGTACGACCAAGAGAGATCACATGACCTTCTAAATAACAAAAGGATAGAGATTATGAGAGCCACTTCTAGCTCTAATAAGATTCAAGTAAATTAGCTTAAGTGTGCAGAACAGAAACAAAAAGCAACCAAAAAATGTACTCCCAAGGGAGGGCCTGAATGGCATAGGGGAGGAAGCTTTGCCCACTGGTAACCAGTAATGCACTGTGAGTAGCAGCGTCCACCAGCTTCAAGGAAAGCAAACCAAGGAGAACTGAAAGCCAGTTGTGTGCACAGAACTCTTGCTTACCCAACTTCTGGTCAAACCTCCACGCTGCGACATAGGCATTGTGCCTCAGGCTGCTCTGGGTGGCCAGGGGCACGGTGACATAGATGGGACCGTCCACCAGCACTGGCGTTCCATTACTGCTGAGCAAGTGGACGCTGACTGCTGTGACTGGGGTCAGGTCATGCCTGCTGCTGTTTCCTAGAAGGAAGAGGCATTCTCCATCATATGCAGTTGGACACTGACATTCATGATCTAGTCTTAGAAAAAGCACTACATGCCTCACTGCTGAATATCACCACAGTCACTTTCCAAGTGCTCCCCTGGAGTTATTATTTCTAGAATGGCCATCAGAGCTGTCATTGTACGAGGTCTGACAACCGAGTTCATGAACTTGCCATGACACTGGCGGCACTGTACAAACAACTCGGTGACATTTCACAACCTTGGTATATCAGTATCTCATAGCTATGTTTGTGTTGATGGGTGATAGGAGTCTTGCTGACTCATTATTATTATTATCATTTTTTTTTTTTTTTGAGACACAGCTTCAAGCTGTCACCTTGGGTACAGTGCTGTGGTGCCATAGCTCACAGCAACCTCACTCTTGGGCTTAAGTGACTCTCTTGCCTCAGCCTCCCAAGTACCTGGGACTATGGGCTTGCCACAATGCCTGGCTATTTTGTTGTTTTTATTGCAGTGTCATTGTTGTTTTAGCTGGCCCGGGCCAAGTTTGAACCCACCAGCCTCGGTGTATGTGGCCAGTTCCCTACCCACTGAGCTATACACGCTGCCTTGCTGACTCATTATTATTGCTGTGCCATATGATGCTAGTTCTGTGGCCATTCCAGGAAAAGAATTTTAAGATTGCTTTGAAAAGTGAACTAGGTCCTGGCTTTGGTGCATAGCTTCCCAATGGGGAGTACTTTGAAGATGCCAGTAGTGATATACGGCAATGAGATATGTAGCACTTTTTCTAGGACGACTTCGCAAACTTAATTGTCAGATCTCATATGCACAAAATACCTATGTGGGGATTCTGTGGGAAAAAATCACCGCAGTTACTAAGGACAGTACCTCCTATATGCCAGGGACGGCACTAATAAGCACTTCATATATGCAGTGCTCCCCACAACCAGGTAACATGCCCCTTTTACACATAAACAGGCTTGGAGACAGCCTAAGGGCACTCACTAGTTACTGGTCAATTCTAACCACAGCACTGTGGTTCGTACCTGTAATGTGATATGGAAGTACACGTGAATGTCACTGAAAATGACTTCCACATGCAGTGAGCCCCAGCCACGTGTTAATGACTGGGCAGGTTACCATATGAAACCAAATGTTTTGGTATAGAGATGGCTTTTTTTTTTTTTAAAATAGTGAATTTCTTCAAAAATTGCTTCGTAACATTAACTTACTTCTGCTAAAAAGGGTCCTATTGAAATTTGGACTTGAAATATTTATGAGTTATTTTAGCTTGCCATTGTTATTTTGATCTGTTTAAATGGAATTTAATATACCAATTATTCTCCATTAGAGGCAGTTTGTCCAAACCAGAGCTTTAATGTCTGTCTCCAGATAAATCAGAGAATGCTTATGAGAGCGATATTTATGCACTTAAGCAATCCATTTTAAATGTTTCTCTAGTGGATTTCCATATCACACGAAAGGTACTTTGCCATAATTTTACATCTTTCCTTGAACAGGATGACAAAAACGCAGCGGTAAAAAAATTTAAGCTCTTTTAGAATAAAATCTATGGGATTTTCTATCCAGCTCCTTCCATAGTTACCTACCAGCCTACTTGAACTCAGGGAAACCTCCAACTGGGGTCTACATTTAAACATTTAAAGCAAACCTCATGAATTTTAGAGTCTCAACAACGAGTCACAGCTAAATCCTTGAAGGAGTGAGTTCTACACAGCTACGGACAGCATTACCTTGGAACATTCATACTCATTTTGTTTTTTTCATGAAGGGAAAGGCAGGGGGACAGACACGGCCTTGAAAGGTCTAACTTGTAATCACAGATTGAAGTTCCGAAATCTTTTAGTCTGACCACTTCATTTTAGGGTAAAGAAAACCCAGACTCAGAATTTTTTATATTTCTGGTCCAAATCTCTTAGGGATTGAGGCACAAACATGCCACCAGCTTAAAGACGATACGGCAGTAAAGCCAGGAGGACAACATGTTGCCCTAGGTTCTGCTAGAACTTCTCAGGGAGATAGAACGCAAAGCTGCAGAGACACTGAGTTACTTATTAGACTTTATATAAATTTAAGAGATGATGCCTCCATCAGGGAGGGCTGTTTCTTGCATCCTCCTGAACATGCAGGCAGCAGGTGGGCAGAGTAGACGAGCCTGGGAAATGGAATCTTCCTTCCCGTAATCCTTGGCCCAGGAGGATGGGCTTCCAGTAACAGATCTCTAGGAACTGCCCAGGTAGCCTCTGGCAAGATACTTTACTCCTCTGGGGTGGTTTTTTTTTTGGGGGGGGGGGAAGACTTAATTTTTTTTAATTTGAAATTAATATGAGGGTATAAAGTTTTTGGTTACATTGTTCTCAATTCAACGTAAAGTTCAAGTTGTACAAGAGCCTCTCACCCCAGGAGGCGTGCCCAATATCCTCACATCGTGTCTATTAGGTGAACTCCTGCCAAATGCCCTCCCCTCTGCCCTTTTCCTCCTCTCCCCTCCCCATTGCTAGGCTATATTTGTGTTTTATAATTTATATGAGTAAGTGTCTATATATTGGTTTCATATTAGTATTGAATTTTTTTTCATTTTTCTTTTTTTTTAGAGACAGAGTCTCACTTTGTGGCCCTCAGTAGACTGCTGTGGTATCACAGCTCACAGCAACCTCAAACTCTTGGGCTTAAGCGATTCTCTTGCCTCAGCCTCCCAAGTAGCTGGGACTACAGGTATCTGCTACAATGCCCAGTGATTTTTTTGTTGCAGTTGTTTAGCTGGCCCAGGCTAGGTTTGAACCCACCACCCTTGGTGTATGTGGCTGGCACCCTGTCGACTGAGCTATAGGAACTGCCCTTCCATTCTTGATATACTTTACTAAGAAGAGTGTGTTTCAACTCTACCAAGGTAAACATAAAAGATGTAAAGTCTCCATATTTTTCATGGCTGAATAGTATTTCATGGCATACACATGCCACAGTTAGTTAGTCCATTCATGGGTCGATGGGCGTTTGGGCTGCTTCCCCAACTTGGCAATTATGAACTGAGCTGCTATAAACATTCTGGTGCAAATGTCTTTGTGGTAAAATGAATTTTGTTCTTCTGGGTAGATACCTAGTAATAGGACTGTGGGATCAAATGGAAGATTGACTTTTAGTTCTTTGAGGATTCTCCATACTCCCTTCCAGAAATGTTGTATTAGTTTGCAGTCCCAGTAGCAGTGTAGAAGTGTTCCCTTCTCTCTACATCCACACCAGCACCTGGGGTTTGGGGAATTTGTGATGTGGGCTAATCTTATTAGAGTTAGGTGATACCTCACAGTGGTTTGGAGTTGCATTTCTCTGATGATTAGAGAAGATGAGCATTTTTTTCTTACCCTCAAAAGTAAGGGGGGGGGGCGGAGATGTTTTCCTGATTCTATGGAGATAAATTTGCTCAGTGGGAAACACTCAGAAGTATAGCATATTAATGGAAAGGAATATGCACTAGGGTCACATGATTTCGTGTTCCTTTAAGAGTTCTCTGGCTGTTGGAAGACACTGCAGGCAATGACATTGGCTTTCTTTTGGCTCTTTCCTTCCTCGGGGCTCTGTTAGACGCCTGCTCCTCCCCTGTGCCTTCCCGACCCCTCCAACTTCACCCTTCTGGGCTCTTTATCCTGCAGTGACTCAGACTCAGCAGGACTACATTATTTTCCTTCCACTCTGCGTTAGGAGACTTCAGTTCTACACCAAACACCAGGTTCTCTATATATGAGTCATTATGAAAGTTTGGAGCCAGACAAAAATCATGCAAATAAAATCTGTGTGGATGGAACCAAATGAAGCCCTCCCAGCAACTCCAACACGCTGGGCAAATGGAAACTGGAGGGAGCGGGAATCCAAACGGATGCTGTGGACTGTGTTTCTTGGAAGTGAAATAACGGACCTCAACGTGCTCTGTCTCAAAACTTTAGTAGTTACCCACATATTAAAAGGCTTTTTCCCTGTTCCACCTGGATGGTACCTGGCTCCCTGTAAGTCCAACCCAAGACAGGTGTCAGGGCAAGGGCAGCAGGATGAAGGGGAAACACCACTGGACCCTGTGAGGGGACAAGCTGTCCTGTCTCGGTCACTTGTAATACAAGAGGTTCTGCTCAGCTAGCACCTAGGGTTCTGTTTGGTTTCACGTCCTAGTACTAACTTTTGGGGACTGTGAGAAAAGTTTGCACCTTGATCATGTTGCTGACTCCCTCTGTGTTTTCCTCGAGTTATTAGTGTAAGTAATTTCTTCCAAACCCTTGCAGAGGCGGGGCACGCTCAGCCTTCTGATTTCAAAATTGTTCTTTCTCTCAGCACCAAAGGTGAACAAAGCGTCCTCTCTCTGTGCTGCAACTCTTTTAATGAAAGGATTTAATCTGTAAGCTTTGGATTCAGTCAAAAGGCTGCACTGAAGGTCCTCAAAGGCCCCGTATTGCCTTAAGGCTGCAGGTTCTCACCCCTGCCAGGAGAGTGGTGCTTTCTTGCAAGCTGGGAGCTGTGTGATGTCCCCAGCCTGTGTGTGAGGAAGGTGCCCGGCTGTAACATCAGGAAGCTACAGAGCAGATGACTGAAAAGATCAGTGGGAAAGTGGCTGTAATCTCCACGTGGCTGCATCTTTCTACTTACAACTCTGGAACATTCCTCTAAATTGGACACCACAGGCTTTAACGGCTAACCTAGGAAACCTCCCCTCGGAGGCCCTTCCATTCCCTTTTGCAGCCCCCTCTGTTTCTGTTCACCTTCAGCAAAGTCTCACCGTGACCTGTCATCTCTCAAAGACACATCTGGGCCAGGCTCTCCCTCTAGGCTGACATCTCTCAGCTGCCTGTTTTTAGGATAGGAGGCCAGGAACTGGGCAGAAGACAAACTGAGCCTGCAGGCCGGCACCTAGCAGGTGAGCCGGTGGGGTGTCTGTGCTCCAGGGAGCCCAAGCTCCTGACCCCAAGGGCCACATGGCTGGACACCTTCCCTGCTCGCTCTCCGAGGTGATCTGATTCTTTCTGGGTCAATCAGTCCATTAGTTCTGTCTGTGGAAAAGAAGTTGCATGTCGCCTTCCAAAGACCTTCTCTCTGAGATTACGGAATGCTCTTCAAATAAAACAAACCTCTAAAATCAACAGTCCCGTGTCTTTGTGTCCTTCTTCCCCCAGTCTTCACCAATTGCATGATTTATTCAAGAGCTTTTGGAAACGGGGCACAGGGAAGAAATTAATGAGCTCTGAGGATGGAAACTGTCCTTCTAAGTTAGGGACATTGTTGGAGAGACTGGATGGAGGTTACAGGATTTCAAACAAGTCTCTTTCAATGCCCCCTGAAAGAATGCTTTTCTCCCAGGCCTGCAGATTTCAGGTAAAAGTCAATTATTTTTCCTCCCTAATGTTTACTTCAGATGACTTCTATGCACCTGTCCCTTGACCAATCACTGACGTATTAATCACATCATCACACACAAAAATTAAGGGAAGAAGAAACATTTCAGACAATGGTAACAGAGAAGGGAGAAAAATGAACAGAAAATCACCAGGTTGCCTGCATGTATAATCAGAAATTTACTAACATGCTACAAAACAGATCGGAGGTGTCAGGTTTAAAACCTGTTTCAGAATGACCGGATTATTTAGAGTACTAGAAAATTAACAGAGACTCAATAAAAGTGTCCCCGTGAAAAGCAATAGTTTACCTAGCAAGACTGAACCCCAAACAGCGTCTGATTTGGGATTTTCACTGTCACTTGTCTCAAGTGTGGGAGAAAGGAAGAGTGGGGCAGGAAAAAAAAAGGAAGGCGTCTGCCATCTCGCCTTCTCCTTCCCATCACAACTGGGGCCACCCTGGCACCCCGGGCTCTGGCATGGAGGTGAAGGCACACTTCTCCTGCCTTTCTCTGCTAAAGAATCGTTACATATTTTCTGGCTGGTGGCTTTTGGTGTCTCTGATCTTTTAGCTGTATGTGTCAAAGCAGAATAGTGAGAATGACTGAGATGATTCAGAGAGCTGCCAGAAAAGGATTCCAAAGCAACCTCCAAGCCTGGCCGCTCTTCGCAGAGTTGAAGGGAGAGAGGGCAAGTTCAGAGAAAGAAACAGTCTGAGGAGGAGCTGGAGGGCTGTGGGTGGCAGGGAGCAGAGCGCCCTATCCCAAATGCTCCCTGTGCCTGTGGGAGGGACATAGGCATGGGCCACCTGGTCCCTACTGGCTGCAGCATATGGGTGGTGGGATCATGTGCCTCTGCCAGGGGCAACCAGGCAGCCTGCGCCCCTAACCACACCTTCTGGGAGCCCAGGGGAGAAGGCAGAAGGCACAGGGCAGAGGGCAAAAACCTGCACCTCTAATCTTATACTTTTTTTTAAATTACAATTTCAACTGTAAGAACTTCTCTGAATTGAATGTACTTAGTCCTCCAAAGGAGAGTCCGTAGAGAGTGCTCGGGAAAATTGATAAAAGCAGAGAGGGAGAAGAACACACTAAAATGCAGTTCTGCTGGGGCGCAGACCAGGTTCCCTAAACGCACCTCTTAAGGCAGCACAGCGCACTTGAACTTGTAGGAGGAGTTCTCCGCCTGCAGCTGTGTGCCGTTTTCCCATGTGGTACAAACACTCCCAGTCATATCTTAAATTCACATACAAAGATGAAACCCGGAAGCCCTGCCTGAAAAGAGAAGAGACTCAAATTACCTGTTCCATTTCCGTCTAATCCTCGCAAGTATGGAAAACTGTCCACCTCCAAGGGGGAGCTGGCGGCCGTGAGAAACGCGGTCAGGTCACTGTAGCTGGTGTTCTCTGGCAAGCGCAGGGCCCTTCTCTGGAAATGAATGCGGGGCTGTGGCCGGGCACCTGCAGAGATGAACCCTGAGTTACCTCCCCAAGGAGCAGTTTCTGTTTTTAGAAAACGCAAGACCAGGAAGTGCCTCTCCCGGGTTTCAGCAAGCCTCCCCTCCCCGCCCCTTCCCACCATGCTCCCCACCCCTCCACGCAGGCCAGGAGGGGCGACAACATGCTATTATGGAGAGGAATAATAGCCCATTGTCACGTTAGTTTGGACGCAGGATGTTATTTAGGCTTTTAACAAAAAGCTGCTTCCAAGTTCTGATTGTGAGCAGGCTTTTCACTGCATGGCCTTGCCTGTAAATTTGGGGTGACAAAAGTCCCTGTAACTGAAACAAGCAGGTGACAATTAGTCTCTTTACATAAACAATGTAAGTGACACTCTGTGATCTGCTACAAACACATCCTTAATCTCCCTGGTGAAATCTGGTTTAATGCCTCAGACCAGACCAAAGCAGGGCCAGGGAATTACACCTGCAGCCTTGATAAGGAATGCAGAGGGGGGCCCACCAGCAAGGAACCCTTTTCTTTCTGTGGAACCTGCCACGTGGCTCCAATCTATTCTGCAGAGATGCTTCCTACTGGTGACAGATTATGTCACAGATTTTTCAAGACTTGTGAAATGATGTGAAATGACGCCCCTCCACCAAACCCAATTCCCTTGTGCAGAAGGATGGGTTTGGCCTTCTAAACCCTCTCACCCGCCATGGTCATCTGTGCTGCCGTCTGTACCTTAAGTTTGCTCCAGATGTTGTCTGGATGGCAAAACCTGGACTTGTCCTTACGTAATGCCACTGTGACAGTCACAAGATGTAACAGTGCTAAGTAACTTAGCACAAACCCAGCAAAAACACCAGACCACAGCATAAATAAAATCTAAAGAGGGGGGGGCTAAGTGTGGGGGGCTGGGGGAGCGGTCTGTCTGCCCACCCACATGCACTAAAGCTGCCAATATAAATATAAATGTTCCCAGATTTCAGAAATGCATATGATCAGGTGGAGATGGGAGGACAGAGTCTGCAGGGCTCTGTCCCCATCCTCAGAATGCACGGCTCCTACTCTCCTGAATTCCAGGCGCTGCATCTTGATCTGCTGCGGTTCCACACCTGTTCCTTCCCTCTTTTCCTCCATCCCTTTTCTCCAAGGTCTACAGAAACTTCATCTTCACTTTTCACTTGTTTGTTTATTGCAAGACTTGGCTCAACTGAGTGTTCTTGCCTTCGTCAGCAATCTCTTTCTCCACAATCTCATGCTCATTTCTCCACTGTCTAGCAAAATGACAATCCAGTATCAGTGTAACTCTGCAGTCCCTGTTAGAGCACCAGTCTCCAGCACTGCGGCTTTAATACCAGCATCACGTGTGGCCCTCAGAGGCCTGAACTGTATAATCTGCAAACCCGTGACCGTGGCCCAGCCTTCATCCCCCTCAACCTCTTCACAATGGTCGACACTGTTTGCCACCCCTGCCTTTGAACCCCCTGCTCCCTGGAGTTCACGGTTCTGCCCTCTGGTTCTCTGCAGAGGCTGCCTGCTGCTTCCTTCCCAAGTTTCTTCTTTCTCCACCTACCTGTGGATATAACAAGTTGGGGGTCACCCATTGTCTCTGCTGTCCCTGTGCTCTCACCTTGTAGGTTCCCTTCCACGGCCATAGCTTTGGCTGTTCCCTTCCACTCTAGTTTAGACTTTTTAAATTTTGAGACAAAGGATCACTCTGTCACCCTGGATAGAATGCAGTGGCGTCATTATAGCTCACAGTAACCTCAAACTCCTGAGCTCAAGCAATCCCCCTGCCTCAGTCTCCTGAGTAGCTGGGACTACAGGCATCTGCTGTGTGACTGGCTAACTTTTCTACTTTTGGTAGGGACAGGGTCTCATTTTTGCAGAGTCTGGTCTCCTGGCCTCAAATGAGTCTCCAGAATTTGGCCTCCCAGAGTGCTAGGATTACAGGCATGAGCCCCTGTGCCCAGTCATGGACTCTTTTCTAAGCTGCACACCTGCATTTCCCTGTGCCTTCTAGATACTTCTACCCAGACGCCCATTTGGTATTCTAAACTTCCTCTCTCCCTTAACAATCCCCCATTCTCTCCAACACTCAGTTCTGATAACAGGTCATCAGCGACATCTTCCCTGTGACTGTGCACATTTGCTCAGGCGCCAAGACAGGGCAATCTCCTCTTACCCACATCTCCTGCATCACCTTTCCCTCCCTTTCAGCAGCCAGCAGTCTTCGTACCTCTCCACTGCTGTTGAAGTCTCCTAACGGGCCCCTCTGCTTGTCTTTGCTCTTTCTTCTTTTCATCCACTGACACCTTGCCTGTTCTAAGATGCTACCAGGATCCTGCCCTTTCCCCGCCTGGAAACCATCAAGGATCTCCACTGCTTACCAAATTAACAATGATGACAAGAATAACGACAAAAATAGGTAGCCAGCCTAGACCCAGATGACCCCTATTACATCTCTCCGCTAAGGGAGAGGTGCAGAGGAGTGCTTTAGAATTTACAAAGTCCTTATATACAATATTTGAACTCTGTCTTTTTTTTTTTTTTTTTTTGAGACAGAGCCTCAAGCTATCCCCCTGGGTAGAGTGCCATGGCATCATGCTCACAGCAACCTCGAACTCCTGGGCTCAAGCGAGTCTCCCGCCTCAGCCTCCCAAGTAGCCGGGACCACAGGCGCCTGCCACAACGCCCGGCCATTCTTTGGTTGCAGCCATCATTGTTGTTTGGCGGGCCCGGGCTGGGGATTCGAACCTGCCACCTTAGGTGTATGTGGCTGGCGCCTTAGCCGCTTGAGCCACAGGCGCCGAGCCTGAACTCTGTCTTAATTTCACCTAGATCAGGGTTCCTGGACCTCAGCACTATTTACATTCAGGGACAGGGAATTCTCTGTGGGGGTGGGGGCTGTCCTGTGCACTGCGGCATGTTTAATTGCATCTCTGTCCCACTAGATGTCAGTAGCAGCCCCCAAGTTGTGATAAGCAAACCATCTCCAGAGGTAGCTACATGTCCCCTGGGGGCAAAATCACCCCCAACTGAGACGCAGTGTACTATAAAGCCTGAGCATCCTCACAACAGTGCAAAGGGTACTGAGAGTAGTCTCCATAGTGGGTACAGGGTACGTGAAGGGGAAAGGGAAAAAGCCTTTGTTTTCCTGGAATTCAAGAGTCGAGAAGGCATTTCTCTCTGCCTCTCTCTGCCACCATTTCTCTTTCTCTAATTCTGTCTGTTTCCGTCTAACTCTCTCTGTGCCCCTGTCTCTCTCTCTGACTCTTTCTCCATCTCTCTCTTGACCTATCAGATGAACACATAAGCTTACAAAGAAACACTAATACTCGGTTTTCACAGGGCAGGATGAAGACTTCCAAGTCAATTTCAGAAGCTGAGGTTGAAGGAACACGGAGGTTTCCAGTGAGAGGAGAGGAAACTGAAGCCTGCGGGCTGCAGAGGCTTTCTGCTTTCTGCCTAGGGCTCTCTTCCCAGATGCCACTTAGCCCTCTCAAATGGATCAATGCACTTCAGCCATTAATCTTGGGGATAACTGGTCTTTCTCCCTCTCCCTGAATCTGAGTGAAAGGAATCTCTTCATAGAGCTTTTATCATCTCTCAATGAGTTTATCACATCACCCCCTTTCTTAAAAGTTTAACTCCCTAAAACATCAATAAAAATTATTACTCTAAAAAAAAAAAAAGAGTACAGAGACATCCATAGAAATGGCTTGATCACCATAGCGGATCTAACTTTCTTCCTTCCTTTTTTTCTGTTTTGAGACAGAGCCTCAAGCTGTCGCCCTGGGTAGAGTGCTGTGGCATCACAGCTCACAGCAACCTCCAACTCCTGGGCTCAGGCGATCCTCCTGCCTCAGCCTCCTAAGAGGCTGGGACTACAGGTGCCCACCACCACACCTGCCCTATCATAGTGCTTTAAGTGCCAGACTAAGAGAGAAATGATAAAAGCATAAGATAAACTTCAAGAAAGAATGACCAACTGCCCAGAAGAAAAGAAGTTTCCTCCATGGTATTTGTGAGCCATGTTTTGCAGGCCGTGAGGGGGGAGGTGAGAGGTGTTAGCAGATATGAGAGCATAGAGAGATGCGAAGGTCCAGTGTGTTTGTGGGGAAACTGAGCAAGTCTGTGTGGGCCACGCCCAGACTGTGTGGGGTCCAGAGGCTGGGCAGGAGGGTGGGGAAGGGCATGGTGAGGCCGGCTCAACAGTCCGGCCTTGCACATTCCAGCAGGGGGGAGTCTGCAGCAGTTATTGGTTTGTTTTTGCCCAGTTCTGATGGGTGGGGAAGGGGCATGAGTGGAGAGAGTGTAGTATCAGAGCGATCAGCCAGGAGGCTGCGATGCGATGGCTCACGTGAGAAAGGATAAAGTTGCAGATAAAGGCAGCAGCACTGGCACTGAGGTCATCACATAAGAGGCGGCTGGAGCCGAAAGCTATTTTGGGGATGAGAGAAGACAGCAGAGAGAGGACGAAAGAGACTCAAGAAGGCTGGACCAGGTAGGGTCATAAACCTGGGGGGTAGGAGGTCCGGGAAGGACAAGGAGGCCTGAGAAGAGGCTGGGGGATCCAGGAATTCAGGTTCTGTTGAACCATTATCCTAAGAGGCTTCCAGTCTTTCTTTATAAACACTGTTAATAATCACAATACAATCACATCCCTCACTTTTAAAATGCAAGGAATGTTGACTGCTAAGGCCAATCCTATTGAAACATTCACTTACTGTCTGCAGAACCCTGTCTGGTCGGATGAGATAACCGGTTTTTTGGTGTTTATGGTCAGAATCTACATACGTACGGTCTATCTGCAGAGCAGGACACAAGCGGGCAGACTTTGTATTCGTAACAAAATCATCACAAGTTTACTCTCTATTTGGCTGGCAACATTTTAAAGCAAAAACTTCAACAGAAGCATGACCCGTCCAGCTGATGGGGACACCTTTTCCCTCTTCTGTCACCCTGTCCCCAGCTATGGCCTTTGTTCTGCCAACCTTTTACTTTAGCGTCAC